AATTCGTTAATTGTTATTGTCACATGTAATTGTTAATTTGTTATTTTCAAAACTGTCAAAAGTGTTTATCTATGGACGATGCAAATTTAGTAGAAAAACTTGACCTAAAACACTCTTGTTTTGGAAAAGCGTTATTGTCAGAATGGAGGAATGGGAAAACGTGTTGTCATGCTTGTTTTACAGAATATGTAAAAATCGAAATATTTTTAATTAAAAAATGGACTTTTATATGTCCATTACAGATCGCTCAGGGCGCGAAATAACGACTGGAGGGTCAGCGGTCAAGGTGACTGGCCAACTCAATTTTAGCTCGGACATACCGAATTTCTGGCCGGTCAGATTATTCATCTTAAAGCAAAGCCTAATAACGTATACCTCTAAAAATGTGTCCATTTTCACAGTATAGCAGTACAAAAAGCCTTACTATAATCAGTAATTAAAAATTCCTTCACATAAAACAGCTTGTATTGGGATAAAAGTATGGTCTTAGCTCTTAAGCCAAAGCCATGGCCCATGGGCTTTGTGACGTACTGTGTGCGAAAAATGTTGTACATTGAAGTTGTTTTCCTGCAAAATATTCAACAGCATGCATGTTATGGTTCTTAATTATAATACTGTACTTGACCACTTTATTTTGATTATTATTATAAAATGAAGATCAGTTTGTTCTTTTACCGAAAGTGACCGGTCAAAATGACCGGCAAGGTAAGAATTTGACCGGACAACTCCGCATTCTGGCCGGACATTGTCCGTTGACCGGCCGTTATTCCGCGCTCTGTCGCTTTATCGGCGATCGGATTTCAGCAAAGAAACAGCGGTTAAAAAAGGAGTAGAACTACTGCAGGACTTGGTTGCAACTGAAACTTTTAACTAGGGGTGCACCGGAACCAGTTTTTTAAGTTCCGGCCGGAACCGGATCCGACCGGAACTGGAAGAAAGTTCCGGCCGGAAGTTCCGGCTGGAACCGGAACTAATTTATTAAGCCATATATAGTCATATGTTACTTTGTCCGCTGCCAGACAGGCAGACACTTCAAGTCATAAAGGAGAGAGCTTGCAAATGTTAGAATAAAGAGATTGACAAGCGTTAAACGTCATAATGAAGTGTTAGTAGTGTACATTTCCCTTGCGTAGTCCAAATTTCTTCCTACTGTGACCTTTTGTTAGACACAAAAACGTTTGATATTCTATCTCTCTGAAAACAACAGAGTTCCGGTTCCGGCCATGCATTTTTTACTAGTTCCGGCCGGAACCGGAACTCTAAAAAATCGGGGTTCTGGCCGGAACTAACCGGCCGGAACCGAGTTCCGGTGCACCCCTACTTTTAACAATCTCCAAAAGATTTCCAATATGAGGCGATTAACGGCTTAGGTTGTTGTTCATGTTCAGCTTTGGATGGGCTTAGTTGATGTTTACATGCTTGAAATACAACATCTGCTTGACTATCTATAAGTAAAAATTTGCATAATTGTAAATCAGGATAGCCAGATTTTTATAAAAATTGAATCCTATTTGACATAATCAACAAACTATTGTTTACCAATTGAAATATAAATCATAGATGACATGATATATCTGACATATATGCCTCATTTTTATACTAGATGGCAAACCCTTTCAGAATTTTGCATTTTCATTTACAAAATTACAGTACAAATTACTTATTAATCTGTCTCAAATTTATAATTGTGCTGTCAAGAACTCAAGTCTTTAAATATAGTTACAGCTACTGATTTAAAAGTATAATTATCAATGGAAAATTGAGAAATAATATATACAAATAACAAGGCGTGAATAAGTGAATTTAATTATTATTTATACTAAACACAGACACTCAGACAGTACAGTACTATCATAATATAATACCTATACAAAGTTTTTAATTGAAGAGATATAACTGCTTTGACACTAACCTTCGATGGAAAGCTCATCAAATGATATCACTATGTTTAATACTTATGGTGCATTTTCCATGTCAAAAATAACATTGTGTGTGCAGATTACTTTATGGCATTCAGAGATGTCATTATGTAATTTCAGCATTGCTTTATGGTATTTGAAGATGTCATTATGTAATTTCAAACAGTTACACATAATGATCACTTGCACACATACTGATCACTTGCACACATAACGATCACTTGCACAAACAATGATCACTTGCACACATAATGATCACTTGCACAAACAATGATCACTTGCACACATAATGATCACTTGCACACATAATGATCACTTGCACAGACAATGATCACTTGCACACACAAAGATCACTTGCACACATAATGACACAGAGGAGAAAATATACAGAGGTGGAACTCAGCCTAAAAAGTGTAACCGGCCGCCAAAAGCTTAGGGGCGGAACATTAGAAAAGTGATGGGGGG